CCATGTGGTCAACTTTGGTTGTTGATGTTCTCCTGGGAAACGTGATGGCTGGCCACTGCTATATCATGCAGAACCCATTTGTTTGTCAGTTTTGACATTTGTCCATGACATTGCAAACCCTTTTTTGCGTTCAGGGTGTGTTTGGTTAATGGGAAACCCTGCAGGTTTCAAGTTGAATTCTGAGCTGGCTGGAGTATTAGGCATGGTTTCTCTGAATGCAATACAGATATGGTCAACACTCTGGATTTTTGTGGTTTTGTCTTAAATTATATTGTTCAAGGACTTGCTATTATAGGGATTCTTTGTGGGTTCACGCTACCTGCTGCCTTGATTATAGACATGATTGTGTTAGCAACTTCTCATGTTTCAACTCTTTATTGGTTGATTTCACTTCTATATTCTTCACAAATACAGGCAGTGACGGCCTTGTGGCGGCTTTTTAGGTAGGAATTCCTTTTCCATTTTTTTCCTGGTTATTGAGATGGTTGGCGGATTGGTTGAATACAAGTTAGTGATTAAAATGAGAAATGCACATATTTATTTAAAATTAACTGATCTTTGAGTTATGAAAGCAACTTGCTCATATGATAGGTTTTTACAGTTAGACCGTCCACTGATGCTCTTAATGTTTGCATGACAAGTTTTTGGTCAAAAGATACAATCACTGCCCAAATAGATGTTACTCAGATGGTTTTTTTTTTTTCTTTTTTTCTTTTTGCATCATCTGACTTCTTAGGCATAGGTTTTATTAACCCTACTCTCATTACTTGATAATCTTAGCCATAATATGTTTTCGGAAAAACTAGTATCGGGTTCAGGGAGAAAGAGCCAATTGTTCTGTTAAGAAGAAGGAACATTTACATATGTGAGGATAATCTGTGCTATTATGGGGGAATCACATGTTCTTTTCATATTATGAAGGTCATCAAATTACTTCATTTACGCTCTATGTGTGATTAACTTTCTTGTAAGAATAGTATATACAATTGCATGCATATGATTACACATTCAGACACAGCATATATACTCCTTTTTCTTTTCCTCTTTTTGTTCATCGAGTTGCTGATCTTTTCACAGGGGCCGGAAGCGGAACCCACTTCGTCAGAGGTTGGACAGCTTTGATTACACTGTCAAACAACATATTATTGGATCCCTTCTATTTACACCCCTCTTACTTCTGTTACCAACCACTTCTGTTTTCTATATATTTTTAGTATAGTGGGGACAATGATCAACCTCGTCTGTATATCAATTGAAGTCACCATATCAGTAATTCATGCTACACCTTATATCAAGTTTTTTCTTCGGTTGGTGCGTCCAGGAAGATTCCCTTCTGGAATATGGTTTGAAATTTTAGGTTGTCAAAGTACTGGTAATAATTCTCCAAAGGTTGATTTTGCTGATGAACTGACTTCTTCCAAGGAAGAATTGCTGCTAAAGGATTTTAGTGGGCAAAAATCTAGCATTCTGGTTTCAGTTCTCCGAAGTAACTACATGAGCACAGGTAAGGCTTGGAGCTTTAACTCGTGGACTTAGATTGATTCTTCTGTGGGATTTAATTTTTTTTTTTCATGCTGCTAGGTGATGTACCTTCAGTATTAATTAATATCAAAGCAAACATCTGAGAATGTGTGCCCAATATGCAGACTTTTTGTGCTTGCTTTCAGTTGACTGGGGCCTTTTACGTAGAGACCCTGGAAAGATATTATTATTGCGTAATATATGCGACATTGTTTTTGGAGGCAAAACTGGTAACCATGATTTGCTTAATCATTGCGTGTAGTTGTGGTAATTTTCTAATTAAAAGTGGGTCCCTGCCTTTTTGCGTGACAAGGTGAACCTTACTGAATATGTCTAGATATGCATTTTCTAAACATTGCATGAACACGAAATTTGAAAGCGCTGACTGAAATACAATTTGTAGTATGATTTTTTTAGTCCTTTTCACGGTTATGATAATGACCTTAATTTGCTAACAGTTAGCATTTTGTCTGTTCTTTTCTTTTTGGGCAAACATTGTGTATATGCACTCTAACGGGATGCTTGTTCAGGAAAAGTTATCTGTCCTCACTACAAAAATATTTTTTCGGGGTCTTCTGCGTCATCCATTTCCTTAATAGCACATGGAATCCTCATTGGTCGAAGGTGAGATGTTATTTTGTTGAGTTCTTTGCATTTAGTTACTCTTTACTATTCACATGAATCCTTTTTTTGAATTCCATCCTTGGCAGAGTACCATACAGACGGGGAACTCTTCTTCCTTCACCAATGCCTTGGATGTCCCTGCCCTACAAAGAGTATTGGCGCCTTTGTCATGATTCACTTATTGCATGCTTCAGAGTATAATGGTCTCATCTCGACGTCTGGTTCCACTTAACCAAAACTTGTTTTCTTCATATTAAGAGTGATATTCCCTGCGGCTTCTCATGAAGGATTATTGAGCATTCTTTAAATTGGTTCCTCCCTGATTGGACCAGGGAGGCATTTCAACGCTCAGGCGTGCAGCCGTGGTATATGTGTTCACTATTCAGCAATTGTTTACTTTTCCTGTTACTAAGAAAATGAATTTGCTTTTCAGGCTAAAATGGAATGAATTTTCCTTTCCTACTACTCTACTTTGTGCCCTTGAACTATTGATTTCCTTGCGCCTTTAGTTGAAATTTAGGTTGTCAATTCAATCTATCTTGATGGGATTTTTCCTTCTGTTGAGTGATACAGAGGGGATTTCTGTAGTAGGTAGCGACAAGTTGGCTGCATCAATAGCTGAAGGTTGGGCTTGATTCGATCCTCCAACAATAAATTCTTTTGCTTGAACATATGATGTGAGGTTCTTTTTTCAAGTTTTTATAATTGATTGATTTTATTATGGGGGGGAATTTCTTACTTAAACCGGCAAATTTTCGCATCCATAAACTCCATTCCGTGATGTCAAGATGGGAGATCCCATTTTTTGTCGTAACCCTAAGATTGTATGGGATCTTTTCTTTTCTTTCTTTCCCCCCCCCCCCAAAAAAAAACACTGACTAATAAAATAATACTATATCATTGTATGCGTGATTCGCGCCGTGCTTTCTGACACTTTACAGGAAGGGTTATTTCTCGTATGGACCCCCCCCCCTTTTTTTTTAAGAGGGTGTGATACTTCGGTCGTAAATAGGACATTTTTTCTATAGATCAAGAAAAATAACAATATACATTGTAATGAATAAAAGATAAAATAATATATTTATGTTAAAAATTTAATGATATGATTTATGAATAGGATTAAAAAAACCTTCTATTTCTACCCTATATATAATATAAGTACATACTTTTTCAGATTGTTCGTGACTATACTTTTCTAACTAAAGATACATTAATGCCAGATCGTTTGAAGCAATGTTTCTCATAAATGATAATACTAATCTTCACATAAGTAATCCGTATGTATTTGTTGAACTTCAAAAATTTAATGATGAGATATTTTTACTTTGAATTAAAAAAATAATTATTAATTTGAAAAAGGTTATACTATCTCCTGTCCTAATACTGGAGGTAGTATTGTTAAGTGAGTTCAAATGATTCAAATACACTGAAAATAATTTACATTCATATTAAATATAAAGTAAATTATTCAAATGGATTGAATGGTTTACCACGCCAAGTACTTGAGAATTCAAATCATGAATGTATAAAAAATAAAAAAGATTTACAATATACTATTTTTTGTCCTATTTATAAAATCTCATTTGTATCGAGGTCCTATAATCAGAACCGGTAGTATATATACATATATAATAACATTGCACCATTTACCCACACATGGCCATGCAGAGTAAAGGAAGCGCTAACATCCAACGTGCCCAATACGGACAAATACTAACTCACGAGAGAACCAACAGAACAAACTGATTGCCTAACCTCCCTCCCTCCCTCCCTCACATGTTGCTAGCGACGACTCACTCCTGTCCAAATTTCATGTCCTTGTCCAAAAATAAATAAATAATTAAATAAAAGACACATACACACATTGATGGAGGTTAAAAAAAAAACACACACACACACATGTATATGACATTGATGGAAGTTAAAAAAAAAAACACACACATATATGTATGACATTGTTGGAACTTGGAAGTTAAGAACAGTGACTCTGGAATCAGTTCACGAGAATGCTATTGACTCAACAGATGAGAGCCTGGGTTGTGTACAAGGACAGGGGGGAGAGAGAGAGAGAGAGAGAGGCTGAAAAGAGTGTGTGCGGTGTTCGTTCCTTCTTCTATCGCCCTCTTTGCCCTGTTCACTCATGTGAATCCCCATGTGATGAGTTCACCTCTCCTTTTCATGCTACTCTACTCCTTCACTTCACTTCACTTCACATGCCCCCCAATCCCAACATCTTTCCCTTAATTTTAGCCTTCCATGTTTCTTAGGACCATCTTGACCTCCTCATCAACCAATGCCTTCACCTTAAACTTTCCACTTCGCTTCTAATTTTCCTTAGTTTTCGCTTCCTAACGCTTCAGCTCCTGTAGAAACTCATTTTCCCAGTTAATGTAAGCATATTGTTTTGAATCAGGAAACCAAAATCGTCACTCCTACTCCTACACATGGCAGACTTTGTAGTAATATCCAACGAGGGTCGGATTGGTCATTTCAATAGGGGAAGAAGAAAATTATGTGCAGAATGTGACTGCATTATTGGAAAAGACAAAGGCCGGATTTTTGTTATCTGAAACTATAGGCTATACAGTGCCACCTTGCATACCCCTAAAAAAGATAATGCCAGAAATATTATCCCACTTCCTATAAATGCTAGCATTACTACGTATAACCGCAAGCTCTTGAAGACCACACTCGAGCTAATAATAATTTCCTCTGTTTCTGTGTGCGAGCGACACCGTGAGCAATGGCCAGAAAACTAAGCATCGTTATGCTCTTCCTCGTTGCAATGTCACTCCTTCTCGTGGAGAACCATGTAAGCATACTCGACTTTTATAGCTGCCTCTATGTCTTGGTGACTTCAGGCTCTCCATTATTTGAGCCTCTAGTTGTTCTGCATTACTCTGTTTTCAATTCACAGTTGGCCTGTTAATAACTTATTTACTACAAATTATGATGAAACGATCAGTTCGGACAAACAAATTTTAGCCATAGTTCTGCATTTGTCCAGCCGTCTCCGTTTCCCTTAACGTTGGTTCCTTGTTACTTTGTGTTTACTTTTAATTATATATCTACTTTTCATGACTGATAATTATGCTCATGTGGCATACCAAAATGGTGGATTTAGGCTGAGATTGTTGTCGCTGCCACTGAGGCTCCAGCACCTCAGCCCAACAATAGCACAACCAACTTTCCCAAGGTGAGATTTTTCGGCTCAGATTGTTTCTGCATTGCTTTGATTTTCCGAACTTCTTACACACATCATCTGTTCAATGTCTAAGCTCATCTGATATTTGTTTCTTATGAGTTTCAGCACGGCATAACTGAAGGCAGTCTTCAGCCACAGGGTGAGTATTAGAGAATCAGACATCACATATTTTGTCAAAAATTAGAATTACTTCTCAAAAAGTGAAGAGAGGGTTTCATATTGAAATTGAGAGGGAATTAATTAGTGGGGTGGATGAATATGCAGAATGTGGACCACGTTGCACAGAGAGATGCTCAAAGACGCAATACAAGAAGCCATGCATGTTCTTCTGTCAAAAGTGCTGTGCAAAATGCTTGTGCGTGCCTCCCGGTACTTATGGCAACAAGCAGGTCTGCCCTTGCTATAATAACTGGAAGACCAAAAGAGGAGGACCCAAGTGCCCCTGAACATCAAGCCCTCTTCTTTCAACTGTCGCTCTCAAGTTTCAGTGCTTTGTTACCATCTCTTGCAACGTGTACGCTGTGCTGTCCAAAAGGGAATTGACCCTTGATAGTTTATATGATTATTTTATTTGTCTTCCTCTAGTTTTTGCATCGACAGTAAAAAGTGTCAATTCTGTTGTGTGATGTTCTTAAATAAAAAATGAAATAAAATTGGCATAGAATTTGCAGTCCAATTCATAAAGAACAAACACGGCACAAGGAAGCCCCACAAGGCCAGTCTTGTTGCAACTCCGCTCATATGAGTGCATACACACAATAAGTAATGTTAGCAGCCTACGTAAATGACGTCCTTTCACCTGATGGAGAAAACAATGTTTCTGAAGAGAAAAGGTAAGAATACTTTTGGCTATCCATTTTTGTGCTTCTAGTTTTAATCTCTATACCTTGTACTCTGCCCTTCACTCACAATTTTCGTTTACATTCTTTGGGTTGATTTCCTGGTGGGCAAGGTACTTTTATCATGCCTTCTCTGTTCCTAACAAGAAATTGGTCTGTGTGTGTGTCTGAGCACACAGCATATATAGACTAATTAAAACGTCCAAGGTCCACTTCACATGTGAGAAAGTAGCTTGAAGATGGACTTCAGTTCTCCCACCACATTCATGAATCCACGAAGGAAGCAAAGTAACCATTTTAGCTTTAGAATGCACCGCACTAATAATGGTCAACACTTTTATGTCATCTTATTTCCTTTCTCGTATTCCGAACCCACTGCCATTCATATCTTATCTTTCACGAAACATAATTCATAACCATATAGAACATAATTTAACATGCTGTTTTGAATGCGTATTGTATCAAGTAACACGCCTACCAAAATCACGTTACGTTGGAAAGGTAGGTTCACACGACACACACTAGGTTTAATATAAGACTTTATTTGACTATTTTGATCCTAAATATACTCCAATCCATTTGTTTCTCATATTTACTTAATTTTCCAAGATAGTCCTTCTATTTATAGTTCTAGTCAATTTGATTAGTACGGATATTTGGAAAAGACACAGGACAAATAACTAACTCAACTTACTATAAATTAACTATTATGGACTGTAAGTAGTATATTTCGAGTTAGTTTTGGTTGGTCGCATTGCGATGCCATCAACGCACAAGGGTTAATCACCTAACCAATGGAGATTTTATTTTATTTTATTTTCATATATATATATATATATATATATATATTCCCTTCCTACGCTGCTCTGTTATGTGTCAGCCAGGAAGGATCCATCATTAATCAATAAAGGCACGGCCACGGGCATCATTTCTATCAGGACCCGAAGTCAGAAATCAGGCAAAATAAATAAATGGACCGAAGAAAAGTTTTCTAGAAAATCAAAGCTTCCTCTGTTTGGAAAAAAACAAAGAAAAAGAAAAGTTATTTGTATCTGATTCGATTATTTACTCTGTTATGAATGACAAACTTTTGCTAAATTCAAACCCATAGAACAACAATTCGGTCAATAAAACAACAAAAGAACCTTCTAATTTGACGCTTGTGAAGCATGCGCCATTCCACCGAGTAAGCTCTGTTTCTTGAACAGATAATTGGAATTATTCAAGTCCTTCAAGTTCCTGAGAAATCAGGACAAACTTGGGGAAAAAAGTTAAAGAAACAAAGGCGTATCCCTGGAATCTTCGATTCCCTGTCTCGGATGGTATGTTCCCAATCCCAATACTCGTTTTCCCCACTCTTTGGCCGTGCTTCTATTCGATTCTTAAACTTGCTTCAATACATATATAGGCAAATTGATCAAACTGATTTTGCCATAGAGGTTTCTTCATTGAACGCCAGCGTGTTCGCCCACCGCTTCACCGTTTTCACTTGAGCCTTTCAAGTAGTACCATATATATTTCCTTGAGCACTGTGAATTGGTACTGAAACTCTTGTAATCCAATTACATGATCAACCGACAAAGTTATCTTGGTTCGACATTAATGAACATAGGAACTCGTGTAATGGACTAAAGTTTGCTAGAAAGATCTGTGCTTCATCAATAAAGGTGTGAAGACAGGACCCGTGAGCTTCAGTATACCATATTTTGTTCTGATCATTACATCGCGTCGTACGATCCTTAGCCATGGAATATAATAAAAATTTCTTGTCTCGTTAATGGGGAGGGAGAATGATAACAGAGGAAACAGAGGAGAGGAAATATTGAAGAAAGCACGAGAAAGGCACAACAGCATAAGGTTCAGTTCGGAATGAAATCAATGATCAATCATATTTGACCTTTCATGTCATGTAAACTCTTCAACACTCAAATATACATAAAACTCAATCTGCATGAAAAGAAGGAGGATTCTAAAGGCAACAAAAACACGAAGGGGAAAAGGAAGAAGAACGGGCTTAGTCACTTGACTAATTTACAGAGTCCTGGAAACATGAAAAGATCAATCCTTTGGAAAATCATTAAGAAGCGTCGGAAGCCTCCTCCTCGGCAGCCCTAAAGAGAAAAGAAAGAGGGTCTGTGGAGAGTTTGGATCGCTTTTTATCGGCATGAAACGGAGATTGTGCCTTGTGGGAGCTGACCAAAGCAGAAGAAGCGGAAGGTGGAACATTGACGAAGCTTGAGGGCTGATTCTGAAGATGAAGATCAGAACTAGTTTCTTGTTGTGGGGGCTGCAAGGGAATCACGGCGGGAGCGACGGAAGGCGGACGGCGAGGGTACAAGAGGTCGGTGGGGAAGAAGTTGTACTGTTGAAGGCCAGCCATTAATGGAGGAGGCTCCGTTGAAACAGAGAGAGGAAGACTGGAAGTCAGAAGAGAAGATCTAACTTTGTGGGCAGATGGGTGGCAGTTACGTTGCATTTGAGGTGTTTGTCATTTATAGGGGGAGAGAGACAGAGGAGCCATCAGACGAAAAAAAGGAGTCACGTGCTTGAGAATCAGGGGAGGCTTTTACTCGATGTTTCCGGTGTACGTTGGTTGGTTTTCTAATTTTCACCGATTCTATTGGCTTCTCGTTGGGGCTGGAATTGGATCCCCAAATTTTATATGTTGAGATCCAAGATTTCAGTTAAAGTGTTGAGTAATGGTTAATTAGTTACCATGGTTTAAGTATTTACTGATCAATAAAAGGAAACGGACTGTTGTAAAACCTGGATTGTTAAATAAAAAGTGATAAAAGAGACCAAAATAAAGCTTATTCAAATCATTATACTCCTCCGGTCCTTATTATAAGATCCAATTTGACTTTTTATTTGGTCCTAATTATAAGACCCAATCCATTTTGTCTCTTATATTTATGTATTTTTTTCCAAGATAATCCTTCTAATAATGATAGTTTTAGCCAATATACTTAATTAGCAAGGATATTTTAGGAATGACAAACACTTATTTATTATAAATAACCAACTTAACTTACTTCCTTAATCTCCTCAAATAAGTCAATTGGGTCTTATAATTAGGACCGGAGGAGTATATACTACTCCTCCGGTCCTTATTATAAGACCCAATTTGACTTTTTATTTGGTCCTAATTATAAGACCCAATCCATTTTGTCTCTTATATTTATGCATTTTTTTCCAAGATAATCCTTCCAATAATGATAGTTTTAGCCAATATACTTAATTAGCAAGGATATTTAGGAATGACAACACTTATTTATTATAAATAACCAACTTAACTTACTTCCTTAATCTCCTCAAATAAGTCAATTGGGTCTTATAATTAGGACCGGAGGAGTATAATTATGTACCAACGATACTAACACCTCCGTAACTCCATTAAATCATAATTTCTTAAACAGTTAAGCATAAAAGGTAATAAATGTATGAATTATGAGGGGAAAAAAAAAGCTATGGTTTAAATTTCAATTATTTATTTATTTTTAGTAGAAACATGATAAGCGGCAGATGCAACGGCTGCAGTTCCAAAATCATACGATCATACAACTGACGATGTAATTTTTTTAAAAATAAATGTCGTGCGATATTTAGAAAAATTGATAACAAAAATCTCACAATTTAAAGTAAATTATTCTCACTAAGGAAAGACGAATTAAGGTTTAGAGTGCATCAGCAATGTCCAACGCTGGGAGATAATCACTGAAAAAGGTCTACCTACTTCGAGGAATAGGATCATTGCCAGATTAGTTTTTCTATTATCTATTATGAGATGTCTCTAGTGCACACCAAAACAAGAACAAAGTCATGTGTATCCCAACTCCATTATATATTCTTCACTTGAATCAATTCGAATTCAGTTAATGTAAATTAATTTCACTCAACAGTATGTATTATCCGCCTGAAGAACGAATTCTAGTCCAAACACTCGTCCGTAATTGACAAGAAAGAAAGAAAAAAAAAATCCCCAGTTATATATAATAACTCATTCTTCGTATTCCAGGGCTTCTGAGCCCCGGCTAGTAAGCTCTCTGCCTCTTTTTATCTTCCCCCCCCCCCCCGGGTATTTTTAAGCGAGCTGACTTTATGAGTTCTGCACTTCGGTGTTCTGCCTAAATTCCCTGCTCTACACAAAGAAAGTCATGGGAATGGAAATCTTGTTTATTCATTATTGCCACGGAGGTTTTAAACTGATGCGCAGATCTTTGAAAGATCATTCTTTCCTTGTTTTTGGGGGGGGGGGGGGGAAACTCCTTTTGACTTGATAGGTTGGTGACTATCCATGAATTGGTGGCATAGAGAATTGGAGAGTCACATGGGGTAGGCGGAGGAGGCTGCTGGGACCATGGTTGTTTGCCTCCCCACGTAACTTTCCTCATTTCTTGTCTACTTTTCCAATTTCCATCATATGACTCTGTCTTCGTTTCCTTCTTAATATTTTAGCGATTCCAATTGTTTGCTTATATAAACAAGTCTCGTTGACCTATTCTTTTATACTGATAAGTGATCGCCAAATAGGCCTCAGCCGACGTAGAATATGAGTGGAACATAACAATGGCGTAAAAACTAACAAGAAATCATGAATGCAGACGACAAATGAGGTCAGGTGGCATGCTTCTCCACGTTCAGCAAGTTGACTAATTGAACAAGTGATCAACTCTGGTCTAAAGCAGTTTTCTTCTAAATAGCGTTATTGATTGAGTCTGCAACAGCGTAACCTGAGTGAGAAAAAAGATGGTTGGCATTAGAAATTTCATTTCGCTACGAGCTTGAGTTTATTATAATTTTGCCTTCCCAGCGGTAAAAAAATTTCATCAAAAATTTTATTGAAAATTTTCCATAAATTTTATTTTACAGTTTCCAGGTCCTCGAAGAAAGATCAAATCAAAGCATCAAATACAGTGCCACAAAATTCTCAAAGTTAACAGTTGATGCACAAAAACAAAAAGGAAAGCTCATTCCTTGTGCTTATTTGCCCAATGCTGAAGTCTTTGCTTGTGCTTCTTCAACTTTAATGAAGATAGGAACTTGTGTCGTCGTTTGCTAGAAGAATCTTACTTTCATCAACAAAGGTGAGAAAACCGGGACTCGTAAGCTTCAGTATACTATGTCTTGTTACGAACTTCATTACATCAAGATCTATTGCGTCGTACGATCCGTAACCCCACGAAATAATAAAATTTCTTCTCGTCTTATACTGGAAAGGGAGAAGAATAAAAGGGGAAACAGAGAAGAGGGTACTTTGAAGAAAGTACGAGAAATGCACAATACCATAAGGTTCAGTTCGGTTTAAAATCAGTCATTTATGACCTTTCATGTCATGTAAACTCTTCAACATTCAAATATACATAAAACTCAATCTGCAGTAAAAGATGAAAGAAGGGGGATTCTAAGGCAGGAAAAGTAACAAAGACACAATGGGGGTTAAAAGAAGAAAGAAGAAAACGATCGGTCCCCTGAACAATTTACAGAGTCCTAGAAACATGAAAAGGTCAGTCCCTGGGAAATCACAAAGTGTCGGAACCCTCCTCTTCGGCAACCCAAAGAGCAAAGAAAGCGGATCTGTGGAGAGTTGCGATAGCTTCTTATCGACTTCAAAGGAAGATTGTGCCTTCTGGGACGCGACCAAAGCAGAAGTGGAAGGTGGAACATTGACGAAGCTCCTGGTCTGATTCTGAAGATGAAGATCAGAACAGGTTTCTTGTTTCGGGGGCTGCAAGGGAAGCACGGCGGGAGCCACAGACGGTGGCGGGCGAGGGTACAAGAGGTCGGTGGGGAAGAAGTTGTACTGTTGAAGGCCAGCCATTGGTAATGGACGATGTTTTGTTGGAACAGAGAGGGAAGACTGAGAAGTCAGAAGAGAGAATCTAACTTTGATGGTAGTTATGTTGCGTTGTGGTGGTTTGGCTGCATTTATAAGGAGGGAGGGGGAGAGAGACAGAGGAGCAATCAAACCAAAAGAAGAGTTTGTGAAAAGGGAAGGGCTTGGGAATCAAGAAAGGCTTTTCTTGGAGAAGGGGTTGGTTACTATGTGCTCTTACTCATTACTCGATGTTTCCTGTGTACGTTTGTTGGTTTTCCAAGTTTCACTCATTCTATTGGCTTCGTTGGGTTTGGCTCCTCAATTTTTCTATGTCGAGTTCCCTCATTTCAGTTAATTCCATCATTTTAGTTAAAAGTTTTGATGATTTGAAGTATTTACAAAAATGAATAAAAGAAAAGTGAATAAAAGGAGCCTAGTTCAAAGCTTATTGTTTGTTTTATTAATCGGAGAATTTTTTAATATTATTATTTTAAGAATATAAAAGTAAGGAATCATGTGTGAAAGTAATGAATTGCGCATAAAAAATAAAAAAAAAAATTCTCCTTTTTGACTTGTAAGGTTGGCGATTATCTAAGAATTTATGGAGTAGATAATTGGAGAGTCACATGGGGTTGGCGGGAAGGCTGCTGGAGCCATGGTTGTTTGTCTTGTATCCTCTCACAATTTTCCTCATTTCTTGTATATTTTTCCAATTTCCATTACACGGCGTTGTTTATCATTTTCTGCTTAAATAATTTTGGTAATTCCAGTTGTTTGCTTATAACTAACTGTGATCAGCCTATTTCTTATAACTGATAACCTAAACGGCCTCACCCAACGGAGAAAATGACGGAAACATCATAATTGTTCAACAAATTAAAAAAAAAAGTGATTAAAATAGGGAAGATAAGTTTCTCTAAGACAGCTTTCTTCAAAGGCCTATCTTATAAAATATAAAATAAATATGTAAAAAAAGTTTTGTTTCGATCTATATAACATGTGTATACAAGTAATTTCAAATGTGCTGAGAAATAAATAGCGCCACTGTTTGAGTCTGAAACAGCAAAACCTGAGTGAGGAAGAGATAGTTGGCATCGTAAATTTTATGAATACAATTTGCCTTTCTAGTGGCGGACAAATTTCCATAAGAAAACTACTGAATAATCTCGGGACATGTGGATGTAAGTAGAGCGTAAAACAGACAAGTTTCAAGTTTTCAATCATTTATACTGCGCATGGAAATTTTCCATGATTTGTATTTTACAGTTTAAAGGTCCTGGAAGAACGATCAAAGCATCAAATGCAGTGACACAAAATTCTCAGAGATAACAGTTGATGTACAAGAACAAAAGGTCATTCATTACAGAAGCATATCAACATAGTATAATAATATATACATCACCAACATAGTGTTTTATAATTGAGCCCTGGTTCAATAAGCAGTGGCTAGTTACTTTCTATATACTAGCCGTGTAATGAAATCAAGAAACAGCAGGAATGTGACAATCAAATCCTTCTACTCTAACTGCAGCTGGGTTAAGTCCAGGCTCCATTCTAACACATCCTCCTTTGCGTGGAGACAAAAAATCGGATGATGATGAAGATGAAGACGATAAAAATGCAGAAGCGTTCCTTTCATATACAAACTGGGAATCTCGGATCAAAGGGTTACCAGATCGAACTGGAGGTGAGCCAACTAAATGAGATGATAAGGCTACTTGATTTGTCTGTTCTTCTCCATAACTCTCCTCGAAGATTATGTCTCGAACATCTACTTTATCTTTTGAATCATATGCTTCAACTTGTTGACTCAAATGATATCTAACAAATATCTGAGACAAGATCCTGGCTCGCCGGGGCTTGGGGCAAATGACATGCTCCTTCTCATTAGACATGGTTTCATAGCCTTTCATCTTTTCAAGAGGCGCAAATACGTTCTGCTCAGCTTCATAATACTTCATCTTTGAAGCTAATTAGATTCAGAAGGAGAATGCCCTTGGAGAACATAAAATCCCTCTCTCGTGGTCAGGCAAAATGTAAGAAAAAATACTGCAAGACGAAACCTTGTTCCATTTCATCCACGTAAGTCTTCTGTTCAAATTTTGTGATAGCAACCAATCAAGGAACTAAAAAATTCGAAGTGAAATTTTAAATGCATCGTGTTACATGTAACAGAGTACAGCAAGTGAATGTTCGGAGAGATTGACGGCTGAAAATGTCACTTAACCACAGAAAACACAATTAGAGTAAAACTAATCACAGAACAAACTACAGCAAACATTTTTAGACGTTTTATCTAGGAGACATAGCTACTAAATTAAATCTCGAACCAACTTGGTTAACTAATAATAGAAGATGACTAGTGGCTATAATCAAAAGGTCCAGATCTTAAAGAAGGATTCAAAGTTTGTTTCTTACATGTCTTTTTTCTCTTTGGAAGAAAATGTTTCGCATTTTCTGCCTAAATTCCATAACCAAAATTAGCCTAAAATTTCCGATAAGCTAAGCTAAACCGATACCATATAGATAGCACATGCCAGCTAGAATGCAATTAGTTATGCATCCAAAAAATAACACTACGAGACTTGGGATTTCGATCGATATTGACGCTTTTTTTACATTTAATAGCTATAACAAAGTTATCAAAAGGAACCGACTGATCTAGAAGGAAAGCCATCAATATTGTATAAAATGAAACATGAGATGAACCGATTAAGAGTAGTTATAAACCTAACATTTATATAACTAAACAAGTATCGCTAAAAGAACTTGTGGAGCAAAATAAATCAAACATTCAACCGTCAGCATTAAAAGAACGTCATTTCATTTGGTTGTTATTAATACATGTGCTAAGCATACAAGTAAAACCATAGCTTGAACTAATTTCCAGTGTGAAATTCCGTTATCATTTCTCTCAAGTTCCATTAAAGGAGGGGCACAATCACTGCTATCATAACACAAATACTATACCATCATACTGTAGCAAGAGAGGGAATGCTTCAAACAGAGGGGTAAAGGGAAAGCGGCGGTCGAGGAATCATTCTAGTTCCTTAAAATCTTAATCCCCATTGTGTCAGGGGAGCCAATTATGGACATGGAAATAGATTCAAGAGACATGTATTGGCAATAAGGATCGACTGTTTAATCTTGGCGACCTCGTAGATGTGCTTCAGAGAGAGCGTAGAAACCCACCACGTGGCCGGGGCGGTTGCTGCCGGATTTCTGCTTTCTTGAGATACCAAGTCAGGGAGGGATATTTGACGGTGTATTCGAAGGTGTCATCCTTGAATGCCGTGATTGTCACCGCCATAGGCGTGTCTGGCTTGTATTTCTGCGATCGCGTGTTGAAGTCCTTGCAAAAGGACATTAGGTTAAGCCTGTACTGACCCACCACCGGACCCACAGGTGGTGCAGGTCCTTGCCCTCTGGCCGGCACCGTCAGCCTGATGGTGGCCGCCACAGGTCCATCTCCTTCAAGGTCGACATGGGTTTGTTTGGCGCTCTCGTCGAGGCGGGAAGGAGCAGCTGATGGTGAGGTTCAAAGTAGGGGCTTTTGTTCATGGGCCCAGTTCGTTTTAACTTAAACCCATTTCTCAAACAGCCATTGTCTTATGCCCATTTATGTATATTTCAAAAGGTTAAAAATAGTCCCTTCAATTACAATGGTCAAAAGGGACGGGTACTCACGGATGATTTGGGCTTGCGCCTTGTGGTCCATTTATGATTTCTTCAGCCTTTTTTTTATGGAACTCTTTCCTCAATCCTTAATATAAAATCATTTATCCAACATATTATTTTTTTTTAAATTTTATTTGATTTGATATTTTCTAATAAAATAAGTAAATTCTTAACTATTAAATAATATCCACTAATTAAAATTTTCATTGAGGATATTTTAATATTTTAAAACATGAATTTTAATTGAATTCCATGGATTTATGTAAATTTAATAATGATTAAGTTTCCATAATAAGAATTAGTGAAAATAATATATATTGTTTCTCGTAAGAAAAATTCATATTCATTATTATCATAAACAAGCATGAGTTTGATAACCGAGAAAGTCGATGGTGGGGGGGGGATGACGGGAGAATTAATATGATAACAAAGGATTAATTATTGCTATTAGCAGTGGATATCTGGACTCCACAAAAGAATACACCACTTTCTCAATGCCATCAAATTTTGAACTCTGCAAACCATTCTTTCAAACTAATTTTAAGTATACATTTATCACCATCAGTGCAGCGTAATTAAATATTCTATTCTTGATGTATTTAATTTGTTGAAGAATTGAATTAATTTTGTTAAAGAACCATTTAATTGAGAAGCGAACTATGTGATATGTACAACATAAATGACTAGTGGCTTATTGGTGACAATTGAGCTTTTGAGTAATTAAAGGCCCACATTTTCGCTCCTTAAATAAAGTTCATGCGGTGGAAACTAGGGTGGAATGTGAATGGTAACTAAGATTTAAACTTTCTTGTCTCACAAATTCACGATGCCATGGATAATGAATCTGTAGATTAACAAAACCTTTAAAAAAAAAAAGTCATCAAGGAGTAGCTGATTGTGCCATCTCACATTCGTAGGAAAGTAACACAACATTATTATAGCAAAATAATAAAAGAGGGCCTGGGGGTGGGGGGACCGTTCAGAGGACCACACACCAGTGCCTGTATATGCTACTCCTGATTAAATAAATTGATCAAGTCCGAGTATGTATAACTTCTACGAAAATAAAACATCCTAACGTGTAAGCCCACCTTAGTACGTCCTCAGATTTAAATACACATCGATATACGTACGTATCAATTAAACAAAAAAAAAACATACAATATGCTGTGGTCCTATAGAAGATGCACGAGCTGCTAACAAACAAAATATACAAGGCATGCAACAAATCCGATCCAAGTTCCATTTGAATGATTACAATTTATAATAATTTTTTTGAGGAAAAAAAAAAGAGGGACCAACAATGGACCAGATCATGGTGGTTCAGCAATCTTTTTCAGGCACAATCTGAAGACCGATTGGAGTGATGGTGCATAAAATATCTGAAAAAACGATGGCATCATCCAATGTCAGTATGAGCGAGGAACCTAAAACGAACTTTCCTTCTCTCTATCTATACGCATGATATATAAGCTAGCGAAGAACGTGTATGAAGAGCATCAGCTAATCATCCATAATCTGTAATTAGATTAACGATGGAGTCCCAAACAGCTTCTCAGCCTGAGTTTCCTCTGTTCGATTTCTCCAACCCAAAGTTGAAGCCTGGGTCGGACGAGTGGGCTTCAACTTGCAAGGCTCTGCGAGTCGCCCTGGAAGATCATGGGGCATTCCTCGTGCTCTATAACAAGGTCGATGACTCCATTTATGCCTCATCCCGGCAACTATTTGATCTCTCAACAGAAGCCAAGATGCAACAAACCAGTGACAAGCCTGCTCATGGCTACGTGAACGGAATGTGCAGCTCACCTCTGTTTGAATCTCACGCCGTCGACAATCCCGTGAGCTTACAAGATTGCCAAAAGTTCGCACGCATCTTGTGGCCATCATCAGGAAACGACTTTTTCTGGTATTTTTAATTCCATAATATATAATTTATATACTGCAGAATCGAACTGTAACTGATATATAATTGCTCATGCTATGTATGTATATGAACATATGTGCAGTGAATCTGTGCATGCGTATGCAAAGCAGGTGGTGGAATTAGACCAAATGCTGAAGAGGATGGTGTGCGAGAGCTATGGAATCAACACTCAGAAATGTGAAAGTTTCCTGGAAACTGTCAAATATGTGCTGAGATTTTACAAGTACTTGCCAACCCGAAGAGATGAAGGCGAAAATGGAGTGCTTCCTCACCCGGACACAACCTTGTTCACCATATTGCATCAAGACTGTGAAGGTTTGGAAGTCCAAAACAAGCATGACCAGTGGGTTAGGGTTGACGCCTCGCCCTCCTTGTTTTGCGTTGTTGCCGGCGATGCCTTTTCGGTGACTTTCCCTTAGCTTATTCTTCTTGAAGCTCTAGAAATACATGTTCTCTCGATTCTTGACGTGCCTTAATTTAACTAATTAGTAATTAGTATTGAAGTGCTTTAAAAACAATTAACGTGTTTTTTGCATTTTCATATTGATTGATGGCTTGGGTTAGGTATGGACCAATGACAGGATATGCCCCCGTTACCACCAAGTGATGATAAAGACGAAGACACGTCCCAGGTACAGCATGGGACTTCTCTCATATGCTGGTCAACCTATGAGTCCACCAGAGGAGCTAGTCGATGACCAACATCCACTGCGTTACAAATCATTCAATCACTATCAATATCTGTCTGCCATTGCCACAAAAGAAGGCCTGAGATCTGATTATCAGCGTCGACTCAAAGAATTTTGTGGTGTTTGACCCACTAATATATATACGCATGCACGAATAAATAAATGTGTGTCGTCTGTTTCTGTTATATGCATGTGAATAAAATGGTCTTAGTATTGCCCAAAGAATATTAGCTCACGCAGCATATTTTCTTTGGACATAAGAATGAGGGATCCGAGGTTTGTGTGTTGAATGTTGGTTTTAATTTGTTTGTGTTGGTTGCTTCCCTTCTATGGCGCAACTCAAGTTATGTATATCTTGTATCCTTTTCGCGAATAAACGTACGTTGGGTGTGTTTGTTGGGGTTTGTGTGACTGATAATAATCTTGGAATACGCACAGAATGCCGAATGGCGAATGCGATACAAATAAGTTTCCGGGGGGTATTCAAAACCATAAATTTAGCATTAGCTATTATGTTAGTAATTTCTATTTAATATTTTTTATATTTTTTTAACAAATAATAGATATAAAAAATTTCAGTTAAAATAACATAATCGATCGTTTATTATATTATAACAGAGGATTAATACATCCTGTATTTTAAAGAAAGGAATACGAATTGTCAACGAAAGAAAAGTCCATATGATTCAAACCTAAAGAATACAGATATAACTCAGTTGTGAGTTTATTTTGTTATAAATTTATACTTATAATTTTTATAAAATGAAATTTTTTCAAAAACTTGTATATATTTTTAAATTAGTGTTTTTAATATCTCTTATTCATTTCAAAATAATCAACAATCAACTAAAAATTTCTTATAGCAATAAAATTCATTTTTGATAATTTATAAATATTTCTTGAGTCTGGCATGCCCTACACATATTGAGCCATACACATGAGCTCACCTAAACTTTTTATTATTAGCAAATGACCTAATAGGAACATATGAAAGCTACCCTACATATTGAAGGTTAATTAGCGGTTTCTCTTTTCTTCTGACCCTCTTCCTTCTCTTTATTTTTTAACTATTAGATTAATATTTTAGCAGTTCAAATTTAAATCTTTTTAAAACTATTATTAAATATTAAATTATAAAAATAAATAAATAATAAATTACAAACTATATTAAAATTTAATTCTAATAGTTTGCAAGTGTACTAAATGTTTTTAAAAATTTTTTAAATAGTTTATAAAAAATTAAAATCTAAACTATTGAAATATATTATCTAACGGTTTAAAAAAAAAAAAGAAGAGGAAAGACGATAAAAAGAGAAGAGGAGAAGTTGTTAATTATTGGTTGAATTTCATTTGTAATCTCATGCAACTGATACTGTGGTTATAATTTTTTTTTTAGGAAAAAGAACCTTTTATCATTAAGGAAAAAAGATTGTGTTGATCGAGCATGGCAACCGCAAGTCAAGCAATAATCCGATCCAAGTTTCATTTGAATGATTACACTTTATAAATAGAAAAAAAAGATACAGAGGCCAAAAATAATGGACCAGATCGCGGTTCAGAAATCTTTTTCAGGCACATGACGAAGACGGATTGGACCAATGATGCATAAAGTATCTGCAAAAATAATGACATCATCCCATGTCGGTAGGAAAATAGCGTGATGGCTTAGCAGATGAACCTAAAACGAATGCTCGTTCTCTCTATATATACGTATGATCGAAAATTAAACTAGCAAAGAAAGAGCATCATTTAATCATCTAATCTGTAATTAGATGAATATGATGGATTCCAGAACAGTTTCTCAGCCTGAGCTCCCTTTGTTCGATTTCTCCAACCCAAAGTTAAAGCCTGGATCAGACGAATGGGCTTCCACGTGCAAAGCTCTGCGAATCGCCCTTGAAGATCACGGGGCATTCCTCGTGCTCTACAACAAGGTTGATGACTCCATTTACGCTTCATCGCGGCAGCTATTTGATCTCTCAACAGAAGCCAAGATGCAACAAACCAGTGACAAGCCTGCTCATGGCTACGTTGGCCGATTACCAAGAGCCCGTCTCTTTGAATCTCACGCCGTAGACAATCCATTGAGCTTACAAGATTGCCAAAAGTTTGCACGCATTTGTGGCCATCATCAGGAAACGACTTTTTCTGGTATATTTAATTCCGTAATATATATACACTTTAGAATCGGTCTGTAATTGATATATAACTGCTGATGCTATTTATTTATGAACATATGCAGCGAAGCTGTGAATGCGTATGCAAAGGGGCTGGTGGAATTAGACCAAATGCTGAAGAGGATGGTGTGTGAGAGCTATGGAATCAGTACTCAGAAATGTGAGAGTTTCCTGGAATGTATCAACTATGTGCTGAGGTTTTACAAGTACGAGCCAGCCCAAGCAGATGAAGGCGAAAATGGAGTGTTTCCGCACCCAGACACAACCTTGTTCACCATATTGCATCAAGAAACGGAAGGCTTGGAAGTCCAAAACAAGCACGATCAGTGGGTTAGGGTTAACGTCTCACCCTCCTTGTTTTGCGTCGTTGCCGGCGATGCTTTTTCGGTGACTTTCCTAAAACTTACTCTTCTTGATGCTCTAGACATACATTTAAGACAATTAACATAAGAATTTCACATTTTCATATTGATTGATGGGTTGGGTTAGGTATGGAGCAATGACAGGATACGCCCTCGTTACCACCAAGTGATGATAAAGACGAAGACACGTCTCAGGTACAGCATAGGACTTCTCTCATATGCTGGTCAACCCATGAGTCCACCAGAGGAGTTAGTTGATGAACAACATCCACTGCGTTACAAACCATTCGATCACTATCAATATCTGTCGGCCATTGCCACAAAAGAAGGCCTGAGATCTGATTATCAGGGTCGACTCAAAGAATTTTGTGGTGTTTGAGCCACTGATATGTGTGTGTGTGCGCGCGCGCGCCTGAACAAATATGTTTGGCATTTGTTTCTATTATGTGAATAAAGTGGTCTTGTAAGTATTGCCCAAAGAATTTTATTGGCTCAAGTAGCATATTTTCTTTGGACGCAAGAACGAGGGGATCTGAGGTTTGTATGTTGAATGTTGATTTTGCTTGTGTCGGTTGCTTCCCTCTTCGGGGCAATTCAAGTTACGTATATCTTCTGTCCTTTTTCGCGAATAAATGTTGATTTGGGTGTTGAATAGTTAATTACTTCGAAATCTTCACTTAGACTCCAGATATCACCTTTTTTTTTTTTTTTCCTTTCTGGACTGAACCAGAATCACTTCTTCCTCAATCCTCATGACTGCCTCTCAATTAAGTGACAAATTAATTCCTAATCTCTCTGGCTTTACTTAGCCTTTGTTAATTAAAAAATTTGTGGAAAAAAATTAATCGTTCGTCCTAAATATTTTCATTTGATTAATAAACCGTACATTTATCAAGATTATGGTTTTCTCTTAGTTTCGGGTACAATCTGAATTGTACATACGCAAACATCCCAAATTAATAAACCCGCGGCCAGTTCTCAAATTCTAAGTTTAATTCGAACCGGAAAAAAAAAAAAAAACAGTGGCTCGCATCAAATCACAACTAAAATCGTTAAAGAGCATACTAAACTATAACAAGTCAGACAGTAAAAAGTCTTCACACTCTATGAGAGGGTCGTAAACTGTGTTGATCGGTTTGATGAGAAACGGAGAAAGCCTCGCATCAAATTAAATCATTTCCTGTCCTCGAATTATTCAATCTCGAAACTTAATGTTTCGACGCAATAAAAAAATAAGTGGATTTTTATGGCCAATAAATAAAGTTTGATGAACTGATCAATCAGTACTGGAAAAACAAATAAGGCTACGCATATTTATTCAAAAAACATGGTGAAAAATTGAGGAAAAAATTTAAAATCAAATTAAAATTAATAATTTAAACTTAACATTAATCGGAAACTTTAAAGCATTGGATTCAATTTAATGCCACTTGAGCACCAAAAGAGTACGGGCACCTTACTACCTCGGCCGCGCGATGCATTCTCTTCTTCTTCTGTCTAAACGATTCGTACTTAAAAGCTTTTTCCATTCCCCAAAAAAAATATTTAAAAGCTTTTTGAATTTTTAAAATAACTCTGAACATTAAAGCTTTTTTATTCTGGTCTCTTGACTTTAAAAAAATATAATTTTAGCTTTTTTACTTTTAAAATTATTAAAAAAATGATAACATTGAAATATTAAACATTGATAAAATATTATCAAATGTTAACCTATTAAGTTTAATTTTGAAAACAATAATGACTGTTCCAAAAATTTATCATTTAAATCTGATAATCTTAGAATTAAATGACTAAAAATATATCTTTTAAAATTAAAATACTAAATAGAAATGTTGTATAAGATTAAAGAACTAAATATATACTTTAACAAAAAAAATTGATGACCCGCTACCCATAATATCATGAATTCAATCTTGTTGATGTGATGAATTTGTTGATAGGCAATTTTTGAATTTGAAAGTATATGCCTTAGTCTTAACAAGTTCTTAAAATTTAACCCACCTAAAGTTTTTTGGTATTAAAAGAAAATAAAAAAATTACACACACACGAACTTGTAAAAGCCCTAAAATAGTCTCCCATCAATAATTGGCACGTACATAATTTTAAATGCGTAGTTGTGATTCGGGTCAAAACAAAAAAAGCGTAGTTGTGGTCCTTACAGATGAAATGTGCTTGCGTCCCTTGTGGTCCGGTTTTATAAGATTTGTTTTTTAAAAAAAATATAACAAACCAATATATGTTGTACGTGGATACTGGATAATGTTAATTAGGATTCGGAATACGTAATCATAGGAGCCATAGTTTAAGCTAGGATTATATCATTGTACTATATTTCACTTTTAATAACGTTGGAGGATAATTGCAGAACATTACAACATCACAAGAGACGAGGCCTCGGGCCGGACCACTCAGAGGACCACACGTATCATCCTGTTTTGGAAGTTTTGCATTAGTCAATGTACGTATTTTGTATTAAGAAAATAACCCCTGCGTCCTCGAAGATATATTAATATTTTTCAAATATGCTTGCCACATCATCAAATTAAAATATTAAACGTGACTCCAAAAAATATGAAGACTTGTTTAATTGAAAACGTAGTAACTGTAATTTTTTTTTTTTTGGAATAATCATAAAGATGTTTTAATATCATGGGTATTAAACTCAATGCTTTTGTCGCATTGCCAAATCAGGACCTTCCAGCTTCCATGTGGAGCCCATTAGGACGGGAGGAGTATTAAGAGGTGAGGACCATTATTGATTTCCCCAGGCATATATAACACAGAACACTAGCAGAGCTAATTGTCTCAGTTCTAACTTTCATCTGGAGTAACAAGACATCAAAGCAAAGCAAAAATGCATTAATTCATCATCATGGGATCCGACCAAACACGGTGTCAACTCGCAGTCGTAGACTTGACCGATGAAAGCATGAAGTCTAGCTCAGAAGCTTGGGTTTCAGCTTGTGGTGTCGTGCGTCGCGCCCTCGAAGAAGATGGTTGTTTCATTGCACTCTATGACAAAATAAGCCCAGGGCTCTGCGATTCTGTTTTGTCTGCATTGGATGAACTATTTGGTCTCCCTTTGGAAACCAAAAAACAAGTCACCAGCGACAAGCCTTTCCATAGCTACTTTGGAGTCTCATGGCTTCCTCTGTACGAGTCCGTCGCCATCGACAATGTTTTGTCCGACGATGGTTGTCAAAAGTTCGCTCGCCTTATGTGGCCGCAGGGAAATGATCGTTTCTGGTATATGCAACGCCCACCCTTATTTTTAACCCCATTATTAGTTTCTGAAACATTATGACTTTCTCGGGTTTGTATAATACATATTTTAAAATTTTTAAACAGTGAAATAATGAAAGAGTATGGAAAGTTGATGGCGGAACTGGACCGTTTGGCGAAGAGAATGGTGTTTGATAGCTACGGGGTGGACAAGAATCGATGCGATTCATTCCTAGAGTCAAACGATTATCTGCTTCGATTTCTCAAGTACAGAAAACCAGAGAAGGATGAGGGTAATTTGGGATTGCATGCTCATTCCGACTTGACTCTCCTATCCTTGTTGCATCAACTCAATTTTGGGGGCTTGGAAATCAAACCCAAGGGTAAGGACTACTGGATTGAGGTTGGTGCCTCCCTCTCCTCCGTCGTCATCATGGCCGGAGACGCATTAAAGGTGAGACGATATAAATATTTATAAATCCATATCATCAGTTGCCGTATTCTTATATATCTACAAAAATGCATGCTTCAAATTGAAATTCAGCAAGTAATAATTGATGAATGTTGCGTACATGCATGCATGAATTGATGGTTGGTACGTACTTATAGATGTGGAGTAATGGGAGGGTGCACTCGTGTGAACACCGAGTGGTGATGAAGAATGCAGAGAGAACAAGGTATTCGATGGGATTTTTTTCCTTCAACGGGAAGACGATGGAGGTGCCGGAGGAGCTGGTGGACGAGCAAAATCCCTTGCGTTATAAACCATTTGATAACTATGATTACCTTCGCTTCTGCGACACTTCCAAAATCAAAGATCCTGCTGAGGTGCGACTCGAGACTTATTGCGGTGTTTCCAAGGCAACTTAAACTTCATATGAATCTATCACTTTCTCTTTTCAGCAAATAGGATGTGTGTGTTTTGGGGGATTTTGCTGATTCAAGCAATGGTCTAGCTTCTGTTTATTTAAATAACGGAGTTTGTAAACCTGGGGAAGAAAGAAACAAAAATAAACTAAGACTCGAGTCAAGATAGCGTCCGTACGTGGACCTGCATGTGAATACACGTCTTCATGTTCTTGAGAGTTTTCTTCTTATTGCTGGAATCTTATCTGTTTGCTTCTGTTTCTATCTCAAGTACTTAAAAGTTACTGTGACCCGTGTATTAGCATAGGCAAAATTATTTGTCTTCTCTAATTTTCATTAGACGATTTGTAGTCTTCAGAAATCAAAATGGATCTGCGCGCAGGCATGATCTAGAGACTTTTGAGATGTCGAGGGGTGAATGTATTATTGGAGTTTTGCACTTTGCAGAGAATATTGCAGATGAATTAATGATTGAATGGGGCGATGGAATTTGATTAGTTCGAAATAATGAAATAATCTATATTGACTCGTGCCACAACGATGACAGTTCGATTAAATGAACGGTTGGATTTCACTAATTGCATTTCGTAAAGTCATGTTCTTGACCGTAGAGGATATCCATATCCGGGATCCCGGGTCCTCCCTTAAGCCTGAGAATGTATGTATAATGGGCCCGTCAACACAGAGTCTCCCAAAATATAAATAAAGAAAGCTGTTACGAAGTCGCTTTTAAACCAAATGCAACAGCCCAAATGCTGTTAAAAATCATATAACACAACAGCGAGCAAATCATATCAAATCTGAAGAAGGGGCACAAAAAACTTTTGACTCGAAACTTAGCGAAGCCATATCATGGGATCCGAAACGAAGTGTGAGCTTGGCGTGGCAGATTTCAGCGATGAGAACATGAAACCTGGTTCAAAGGAATGGGTTTCTACGTGTCGGGTCGTGCGTCGTGGACTGGAACAGCATGGCTGTTTCATTGTACTCTACGACAAAGTGGGTCAAGAGCTCTGCAACTCAATGATATCTACGATGGATCAGCTGTTTCATCTCCCTTCAGAAACCAAGATGCAAGAGACCAGCCCCAAGATTTTCCATGGCTATTATGGCCAATATTCGTTGCTTCCTCTCTATGAATCTCTGGGCATCGACCATCCTCTTACTATGGAAGGAATCCAAAACTTCGCTCACATCATGTGGCCTCAGGGAAACGATCGTTTCTGGTATTTTTAAACACTCTTTTGTAATATCACTTGTTCTTGTCGCGACTTCATTTATTACGCACTCATCTGAAGTAACGGTTTCGACAGTGAAATAGTGAAAGAGTATGCAAAGGTGGCGGGAGAAGTAGACCGTTTGGTGTACAGAATGGTGTTTGAGAGCTACGGTCTGGACCAGGATCGATGCGATTCTTTCGTGGAATCAAACAACCATCTGCTTCGATGCTTCAAGTACAGAAAACGAGAGATCCATGAGGCAGATTTGGGAATTCATGCTCACACCGACATGAGTCTGTTAACTATTCTGCATCAGCTTAATTTCGATGGCTAGGAAGTGAAACCCAAGGATGCGAAGAACTGTATTAAAATTGAAGCTTCACCTTCCACCTTCGTCGTCCTGGCTGGCGACGCTCTCAAGGTCAGAATTGTGAATTATAATTATGCAAATACAAAATTCAATTATATATACGGACTATGTGAATGTGATATTTGACGATGATGAGGCACGTGCGCAGGTGTGGAGTAATGTGAGGGTTCAGGCGTGTGAACACAGAGCGATAATGAAGGCAGAGAAGACGAGGTACTTGATGGGACTATTTTCAGGTGCCGGAGGAGGTGGTGGATGAGCAGTTTCCCTTACGCTATAATAAACCTTTTGACCACTACCAATTTCTTCACTTCTGTAAGACCCACAGAATTCAAGAATCCGACAAAAGAATCACTTCCTATTTCGGGCTGTAATTGGATTCGCATGTACGTTCGTTTCTGGATTTACGATCGCGAGTCGTGTATGTAATGGCACCGCAGCTTATTTATGTATTGTTTCACGTATATTTTGTCAAAACTATGATGCCGTATAATCATTGATCCATAGTTGCATGATATATGAATGATTAATTCACAATACTCGCATCCTACATGCTACTCACATGCATCTACATCTTCATATTGGTTTGTTGATGTTTTAGCTAGCTAGACATAAATCTGGAACTCCCCCCCCCCCCCGCCCAGACGAACCACGGATACTTCCAATTATTTTGTGTCAATTGTGTACATATATTTAAAAGTATTGAAATGTTCTTCCAAGAAAAATGTTTCTTTTTCTATGCATAACTGATACTCTTAGAACCTTTAATACATTATACTTCAAGGCATCTTTTTTAAAAAAAAAATTGAATTTTTTCAAGATTGCAATGTTAAAGCTCTCATTGTTAGAATGTTTTACTCCTCTTCATATTCTGGATAGTTGCAGACTTATCTTTTGATAGACGCAGCTACGCAACTTAGAAGCTATCCTTTAATTTGTAGTTTGTCTGAATGATAATAGCCAAGGAAAAAAGAGATCAATACTATTCTTAGTAGCAAGCCCTAGGTATATATTGATGGTAATTATAATAAAAGTTTAGTCGTGTATTTAGCAGATCATAAGCATCGTTTTTCAGTAACAGAAGATTTGGGGTAAAAATTGAAGTCAAAGCTTTGCATGCGGGAACAAAATTTGGTAATATTATTGAAGTCATAAGTATACGTAATGACATAGCGATTGGCTCTTGGAAAACTTGATATATCAATGTCAATATGATTCATCTTTGACTCATTCCAATAAATTAAAAGAGTTGATAAATATTAAATAACGTAATTTAACCAAAACCAAGTAGCAGAGAAAGAAAATAAAAATGAAGGCCGTACTTAATCGTCTGGGGACCAATTAGAGAGATCAATCATTGACGTCATTTGACGCAGAAAAGGACACATGCAGAGATTAGGATTTCGATCATGCTGATAACAAGCCAAGGATTGGAAATCAATTGAAACATTTAATAAAACCATCCAGGGTCCTATTGCATGGGAGTATATATAAATGTACGATTAGGAGTGGTCCTATAAATTAAGGCCCCCAATAGCGCGGGGACCAAATTTGAAGATGCTTAAAATAATGTCGCACAACTGGGACCAGAAAAATGAAAGAAAGTGGCTCTCAATCTTATTCATTTTTATCAATTAATCAATATAATGAAACCAAGTAATCTAATTTTCGCGGGTGTATAATATACTACATATTCGATTTGTAAATACGTTTAAGTACAATTTTGCTTCCTAAGTTTTCAGTGAGTTGCAATTGACATTCTTTAAGTGTTTTAAGGCACAAAGTTCGTTTGAAGTTTTTTGAAATGGCGTAATATATGTCACCCAAATCTAATTGAAAGGGGGAACCTCTAGGAGAATAGAAGGAAAAAGATTCCGCCATCGCTTAATCAAGCGCTACTGCTTCCTTTAATTTTCATTTTTCCGGCTGAGGCATCTTTCTCCCGCCCGTCTTCTATCATCAGCCTCGTGATAAAATAGATAGTCCAGCATAAGCCTAGAGATCAGGGATGATATAACAGCTTTAATGCCTATAAAACTAGAAAGGTCGGCTTGATCCTGTGGTGTGGGGGTTTAGTGGTGTGCCGTCGGATTTATCAGGTGACTTTGCATCATTTTCAAGAACATTGGGAAGATTATTATGCCTTAAAATATTTAAAAATACTAGTTTCAGCTCGCTAAAATTTTTTATGATAGAATCACACTTTAACTCATGTATATTCTCTTGCTTCTTAGTATCATCTACATTTGATTGGAAACATTTTCTTAATTTCAAATATATGAGTCACTTGAGCTGTACTAATTATTTCTTTCTTTTATGCCCTTAGTTTACAAGCAATGTAATTAATATGATGTTCATGAGTGATAGATAATATTACCTCCAATTCTAAATACAAGAGTTAGTTGATGTTTTTAATTATAAGGCCCCAATCCACTTTATCTTTCAAATTTATAATGTGTTCTCAAAAATATCCGTATTGATTGTAAGATATTTTCACCCAAGTATAGTTTTAATGTATATGATTGAATAAGAATAATTTAGAAAAATCAACACACATTTGTTACAAATAATTAACTTAACTATTTTTTTTAATCTTCGCAAATTAATTATTCAACTTTTATATTAAGGATCGGAGATAGTATAATCATTTATCGGAAAGAAAAAATATAACTCATTTATCAAATATCTTCAAGTATATGAGGATGAGGTATAAACTAGCTAACGAGAAATTTACAAGTAAATAAAAAAAAAATCATAATAAAACTGGACTTCCAATGACTGAAGACTTTTCCATCTTATAGAGGGCAATCAAAAGAGATCCGATATGATAGGGATGGAAAAGGAGATTTTGCATAGTGACGAATAATAAAGACACTGACTGATTACTTGATTATTCCAATGGTTGATGGGAAAAAGAAAATTATGTAAAAACAATGAACATGATAATTTGAAAGTAGTCTACTTCCTGATCTCAATACAAGATGCGAATGACACGACATGCTCTTTTTTTTTTTTTTTTAACACGTTGAACTCGCAGCATTGCCCTGTTGCCTATATGACAAACGAATAGGTCTTTATCGATGAATTACGGCTTACATTCTCAGATACTCACCAATATACAAGATAGCAGCTTATTGAGATGCATATGACTCTCTTACGGTAAACTGCTTTGAAGCACAAAGAAGCTTACACTAAATAACCACATGAAGGTTATGCCGTTACAGCCTATCCATAACTCCCCGTTTCCCAGCATAACAAATTCCATCTAACGCAAACGTAACAGTTAAAATACATGCCAATACAGCATCACTAAGCACCACAAAAGAGTCATAGGCCTACAACAACGAACCCTCCTTAGGTTGTCACGGTTTTCGGCTTCACCCCAATTTTTCTCCAGGAAACACTGGGCATGATTTGCTTAGTGTCAACACGATCTTTGTACTTAATAGTAAAGTTTAGCAGCGAATCCAGGAGAGAATCTGAAAGAAAGTGTGGCTTCAACCCCAGCTCTATCAGTTTAGTGTGTTTGGCATTGTAGTAATGCTCCTCTGCCTCCACTCTAGGGTTTGGCACGGATACAGCTTGCACATCCAGCCCCAGCTTCTCGCTTGCTTTTGTAACAAGGGCAGCAAGGTCGTTTACTGAAAACTGTTCAACAAATTGGTTGAAGACCCGGAATTCCCCAGGATTTGCAGGGTTTGCAATGGCAAGCTCAACACATTGAACTGTATCTCTTATATCAAGGTAGCCCCTAGTCTGAATTATGTCAAATGCAAAATATCAGCAACAATGCATACATATCATCAAGTTCTCTCATATAAAGATATCAATTATTCAACTTATTCAAGAGAACTCAGTGAATAAAGACATGATAGCAAAGTACATGGCGACATGGCAATGCGTTCCAAAACCAGATAGGTGTCTTCATCATTCAAGCACCCTCGTTATTTGACAAAGAAATCGAACATGACATCAAGGAAGCAAGAACAAACTCTCTGAAATCTCAATTGAGCTCCAGTTGCCTGTGTATTTATTTATTTGGAAAAATACGAGCAGTTGCCTATTTCATATGATCTAAACACATCCTGAAACTGTTGCATCATTTAGTCAACAGCTAATATCTTTTTCTTTGACCAAAAGACTCATACTTATCTAAAATATCATCAGTGGATACACAGCCAAGTTACCTGGCCTCCTTTACCGTATACAGTAAGTGGATGACCAACAGCAGCCTGAACGCAGAACCGATTCAGTGCAGTTCCAAAGACTCCATCGTAATCAAACCTGTTACACAGCTCTTCATGCATTGCAGTTTCATCTGTCCTTACTCCATATACCACTCCCTGATTCAGATCAGTTGCTCGAATCCCCCAGGCTTTGCAGGTGAAGGCAATGTTGTGTGAATCATGAACCTTGCTAAGATGGTAAAATGAACTGGCTTGCTTGGGATAGGGCAAAGTGTCCGTCCTGCCATTATGAGTAATTGTGATATAGCCTTCCTCAATATCAATATTTGGAGTCCCATATTCACCCATCGTTCCCAGTTTAACCAGATGGCACTGCTCTCGGAACTCTTTTATAGCAAAGAGCACGTTCAGTGTCCCAATTACATTGTTTTGCTGTGTATACACAGCTCTTGACCGGTCTATCATAGAGTAAGGAGCAGATCGCTGTTCACCAAAATGAACAACAGCATCGGGTTCAAAAGACTTGAAGGCTTCAGATAAGAAGTCAAACTCACAAATGTCGCCAATGTAGAGCTCAATACTTTTTCCAGTGAGAGATTTCCAACAACGAAGGCGATCATGGATTGAGGAGATTGGAGTCAGAGAATCTAGCCCAAGCTGGTGATCAAATAGGCGTCGAACAAGACTATCAACAATAGCAACCTCGTAACCCTTGTTAGATAGGTGGAGAGCAGTTGCCCAACCGCAGTAACCATCACCACCAATGACCATAACACGCTGTGACTTGGATGGGACACCAGAGCTCTGAGGGGAGCCAGAACTAGATTGAGTTGGGGCTTCCTGGTTAGTTGAAATTGCAGTGGCACGTACAACTCTACTTTTTGACTTCTCCTCTCGCAAGAAAAGCCCTTTAAAAGGAGAGCTGGAAGTTTTGAATGGAACAGAGATCGAAAATGCAGCTGAACATTGGTCAAGTGGTTTCAAGTAAGATTTGTTACTAGATGACGTAGTCAAGGAGCCAGAGCATGACAGCAATTGAGCCATCTCATATAATGTTCCTCGGGGTTCTAACTAATGCGGAGATGTACCTGGAAAAGAAAAGCTGAGTTCATCATTTAAGCAATGACTCATAACTTCATTGACCTTTTCCTTTCTTTCTTGTCACAAAAAACCATGCAGTCAATAGGAAAAATAGACGATAAATATTTTACAAGGGTAAGCAAACATACTTATACCCATGGCCGGAAACAAGGACCAACAGGGCACAGGCAACAGGATGCGAGTGAGATACTCCCAGATTTATTAGCGTGCAGGAGGTTCAAAGCACGGTATAGCTATTAAACAAACCAAGACTAAAAATACGAGTAAACATAACCAATTATAAACTCTAGAAAGTCCAAAGTTGCAAATTTCGTCTCTCGTCCTCTTAAAATTTTGGATTCAAAAGTGACCCGTACATAAATTTTAATAAACATAACCGTCCTAAAACATATCAATTCCTCAAGAACAATTTCACCACAATAATTATCGAGGGTTTTGTGCTAGATAAGGCCAGCACAGGCACGCAGACCGAACACGAGGGTTTCTCTAAGTGAAGAATATCAATATGGACATCTAAGTTGCACAGCAAAACTGCTGGAGTATGACATCACTTCGAATATCTTTAAAGTTCCCTGTTCACGTCTCAGAAAATTTAAAGAGACAGTGTCTTCCCACATAAAATCTTCTACACAGGAAGGTTAGAATGATGGAATACAAGAAGTAAACGAAGTTACCTTGAGCCGGAAGTGACTTTTTCTGACTTCGATTGGCCTCCCGAAAGACACAACCCCGGTTTCAAGTTCGGACGCTTCAGGGATGAAGGAGGAATATTCGTTCCCCCCCCCCCCCCCGGGGCGGGGTGCTAAGCTACCGGGCCTGTGAACTGATTGCGAGTCCAAAGTGAAGCCCATCAAAACAGAAGCCCGGCCTAGTAAAAAGAATTTTACTCATTGATTAAAAAAATTAACAAAAAATACATTACTTCCTATTCTAATTATAAGACTTCGTTTGTAGACCGGAGGTAATATATAGTAGGCATGTGTATGGGAGTTCTGATTTTTTTTTTTTTTTACAGATGAACTTGAATTACGTGCGTACATAATCCGTATATACACATATGCCGAAGAGAGATATAAATTGTTAATAATATAATGAGGTCCAAACGGAACAACGAAATCAAACTGACAGACCATGCAAGCTTAATACAAGACAAACGGACAAAAACGGGCCAAACAGAGCCTTAAATGTGAAGTATATGAAGTATTGTGATTTTTTTAAATAATATTATAGGAAATTATTATCTTTATATGATATTAAATTTTATGAGCACATAAAAAATATTTTATTATTTAGTAAATTTCCATTTCACGCCATTACAGCAGCCGTCGGCTTTCTTTTCAACTTTGGCAAGCCAGAAACTGGGTCTAATCATGTCATGTATGTAGTTATTCATGATGACTTGTTCATGGCGGGCAGATGTTAATAGAAAATACAAGTAAATGGTTTTGTTTGGGTATCGCTAGTAAAATTACGTCTCTGGAAATAGTTATGCTTTTGGGACTTATTAACCAGATCTGACTGACAGTAGCTGATGTTATGTTAAAGAAACTGTGCAGAATTTGGATTCTCAAGGGAAAATTACCAAAGCCAAAGGCAATGCTTCTGCTCGGATTTACTGATACGATGTTTCTGAAATTAAAATACAACACAGCAGAAACCCCTAGTACAGAACAACTAACATAGACGCCACAACCCACGTCCAAAACACTACTCGGACGTTGTTCCCAGAATATGCCCCGGAACACAGCACGTTTTTTTAATCCTCCACAAGAAGCCACTCACAAACCACAGAAGTCCTTAATATTGGCACTGTAACTGAACTTGAGTAATTCCAGATGATCAAAAGGCTTGTACTTGGCTGGGTGTTCTTCATCGATCAGCGACGCGGCCACATGCACTATCCCTCTGATGAAGGTAAACAGGCCCAGTGAGTACCTTCTTTCATTCCCCTTCATCACTATCTTATGCCTCGGAGCTTCTATTCTGTCGTTGGTCCAAACCTGCAATTCATACACAAATTTAATATGCTTAGACCAAATTAATTAACAACGAACTAAATGAACTAGCTATTAAGTCACTTTGATGGCATCGCCGGCGAGGACCACGAAGGAAGTGGGAGAAGAGAAGTCAACTTTGATCCATTGGCCATCCCTGGTTTCGACCTCCAAAGCATTGACGTGATTCTGGTGAAGAATGGTGGTGAAGCTCTTGTCGGTATGAGTGACGAAAGCTTGTTTTGGTTGGTCTTCTTCTGAGCCTTTGTGTTCTAACAATCGAAGAAGATAGCTTGCTGCTTTAGGTATGGCTCATAGCACATTGGCATGTTATAGCTTTCAAATATCATTCTTGCCACCATCCGGTCCAGTTCTTCCACCACTTTCGCAAACTCATACAAACATTTGCTGCATGTGCACATACAAACCCAACGAAATTAATGGCCCAGTATTAATGAAGTAGTCATGATGAGCAGGGAGGGAATTAATGAAAATTTATAAGGCTATAGGTACCAGAACTGGTCATTTCCGTGAGTCCACATTCGATCAGCAAAACTTTTGATGCCCTCAGGAGATGTGCCCTGATCGATACCGAAGCTTTCGTGAAGAGGGATCTTAGGATTCTGTCCGACGTAACCTTTTAAGGGGATACCCTCGTATTTGTTTCTGAGTTTGGTTTCATCGGGCAGATCGAACAGCTCCTTCATACAACCGAACAATCCATTTCGAAGCTCATCAGAAGCGAATTTGTCGAACTCAGCCACAAAGAAGCCACACTCTTCAAGTGCCTGTCGGCACACTTTCGCTTGTTGATAGCCATGAAGGGGTGCCTGGC